AAAGAGGAATTGTTTCAAAAATAAAAACACTATCTACAAGTTAAGTACAAATTAAATTGGAGGTTTCCAATACACTAAAAAGCTATCATTTTACTACTTTTGTAGATTATTTATATATATGAAGAAAAGCTTTAGACGGAAATTGTCCAACTCTGTACTCCCATTTTCTTACAATAATCGATCCAATAGTTTTATTATGTATGAGACCCAAGGGTCTAATTTCGAACCAATACTGTTCATTTTTAATTAATAACTCTTCAGCCAACTTTAGCCACGCCCAACTTTTATAGAACAATTTTGAGTGGAAAAAGAAAACTTAGTGATTTAAAGACAATCGTCAACAAGTGAGGTTTCACTGTAAAAATAGAACATATAACTTTATGATTACATCTCCAACTTTACGTTTATGTTACAATTGCAATAAAATTTCATATCTTTGCGATAAATTGCAAAAACTGCTCAATAATAATACATAGTGTTTGTTGCAAATTGAGAAGTAATTTTTAAAAATGAAACGTTAAATCGGATGTTTCTGTTTGTGTTGTTTTGCTTATCACTGATTTTTGTACATATTGTAAATGTTTAAGATCTGTATTCATTTTGAGAAGTCGGCTAAACACGATGAACAGTAGGTATTATTTTTAGATTTGAAAGTTATGAGCCATAAAAGGAAATCTAAACTCCGTTTTAACTATAATTGTTTTTCCGTTTGTGAAATATAAATCATACGATAGTTTGTATTTGCGGTGATTTCAAGTAATCCGCTTTTCATTCAAGAACTCTCGAATGGAAACTGTTTCAGTTATTTTAAACCTTGTTATAAAACACATTTTTTAATCCATCTGAATGCCCTGACAGCGTGAATCGAGATTTTATACAAGCGGAGCACTCAACATTTTTAGTCATCTCTTAAAAGCCCTCCATTTATAGTCAGCATTTGCTTCTTACATCTTTGCTTTAACCTGTTTTATCGCCGGCCACACTGCGTTATTTTCTTTACTAACTACCCATGTTCCATAGTCAAAGCGAGCGCGTCTCTTTTTAATTATTAGCTGAGACAAATCTCTTCCTTTAAATTATGATAAGGTATTTTTATTTTTTCGCGGAAAGAGAAAATTAAACGAGATAAGAACGATGGATAAACGTCACTAGAACAAAACTTTTATGATTTCGAGTTACTGAAGCAAATCACATCGTGAGGTTCACTGTTAAACAGATACTTTTTCTATCAACATGTGCTATCAGATGTAACGATGCTTTGCAGCTGGCGAATATTACACAAACTAAGGTTTATGAAAAGTATTGGACTTTTACAATTTTGTTTCTCAATATTTTCGCTCGTACTCTAAAATGGGGTAATTTGTCGCTAGTTTTCAAACAGATGACGACATTTACGACTAAATGAACCTGGAAATCATCTGCAATATTATTGCCAGTGTTGGGACGTTTCTCGACAGGGAAAAACAATTAATAAAAGAGTATTGGTATTTAGAGATATTGTTTTTGTGCATCATTGTTTTTAATAGAATTTAACTTATCTTAAATCTTTTACGTTCCTTGTAATTGAACATTATACGTGATTATCAGAGCCTTTCAGCACACATTCTTAACTGTAAAAAAAATTGCTTGAAGCTGTATGTGGTGATAACAAAGGGTAAATTTGTGTATTGGGGTTATAACAGACTATGGTCGAGCATAATTTATTGTTTGTTGCATCAGTTGCCAACATAGACTTCCACCAAACACTTTATTTGTACATTTTCTAAAATAAATATGGCGCCATACATTAGAGTAATGTCATTGTGACTCTAACACGCATTTCTTGAATAAACAAGATGTCTACAATAATGTGAATCTTATTTCAAGATTTAAAACACAAATTTAATTACTTTGTAAATAATTGAAATCAATTAAAACAAAACTTTATTTCGATACCTGTAATAAGTTTTAAACCAAAAATAAAATACATATTTTAAATTCAGTTTGTAAAGTGTGATCTACTATAAATAAAATACTATAAAATAAAAATTTGCATATTCGAACGTTGGCTTTGTGCTGCTTAAAAACAGTTATTCTTTGTTGCTTTTAATATTTGTCGGAATACGTTTTAGAATATCTTCAAAAATGTAAAATAAAAAATTGAAGCACAAAACTAAATATACAGTGTCTCCCAGCGAGTTGAAAAAGTCTATTAGTGACCTTTAAATGATAAAATTAAAAATATACTAATATTAATATTAATATAATACTAATGTAATCTATTGTTTAAAGCGTGTCTCAAAAATAAGTTACAATACAAACTTGTGTTTTTTTTTTTAATGAAACACCATATGTTTCTTAGCGTTTTTGGATGTAGATTTGTATTACAGTGTTTTTAAGCTAAACTTTTATTGGTCGATTTTGCTTAGTTTTAAAAATAGGACGTTTTTTTTGACGAAAACATCAACTTTTTAAAAATTTATTACACAAAACTAAGACATCTAGAAATATTCTTTTACTGCCGCAAAGAAGGTACAAGCTATAAGGTTGTAAATTTTTTTTAGTGCAAAGATAAAAAAAATGAAGGCGTTTGTTAAGAGTTCAATAACTTAAGAAATTTAAATGGAACACCCCATTTATTGTTTTTGCATTTAAAAGATTATTAAATTGTCTTTCTAAAATTATTTACCCTTAGGTGCTTATAATCAATAACTAAGACGATATTTAACGTTAAACAATAAAAAAAAATTACTATTGTTTCAGTAGCCAAAAAGTGCACAGTTGCACAAGAGTGGGAAGAAATATCATTTAAAAATCACATTTGTGTTAAACTGAATTCATTATTCTTTATTTTTACAAAAAAATAATTCAAATTTCAATATTTATAACGACTTTTACAATCTCTGGATAAATCAACGGATAAGTGATCCATAGCTGTCTTAGTTTTTGTACAATAGATTTTTAAAAAGTGCATGTTTTTATCAAAAAAACCGTTTTATTTTTAAAACTAAGCGAAATCGACTAATAAAAGTTTAGCGTAAAAACATCACTAATGGACTTTTTCAACTCGCTGGGACACTCTGTATGTATTAATCTTCAAATTTGTATTAAAAAAATGATTGAAGTCGGTGATCATAAAATGGGTATAAAATTGATATTTCTTAATTTGTCGACATAGGGTGTTTGAGAGCTGGTATAGCTGTGTTGATTTTTTGAGTTTATCCTGTTAATAGAGTGAGTAAATATTTAAGTGGCTTTTTCAATTATCCCGCAATTTCGGTTAAACCGAGGCTGTAACCGAATCTAATTGCACGGTTGGTTTATTCTGGATATAAATATTTGTAATCGGCAAATAAAACGTGGCTATTGCTTCCTGTCATAAAAAAGAGAAAGCAAGAGAGACTTAATAGTTTCTGCAAATAAAAAAAGCTCTCGGTTAACAATTTCGTGACACAATCCAATGAACAAGATCCTAGTTGTATTCCTGCTGATTGGACTGGTGAAGGAAATCCGGGCCTGTCGCAAGACAGCCAGGTTTTGCACGACCCTTCCACGACCGTTAATCAGAGCAAGCCTGCTGGATGCCTGGACGGCTCTCCAAACCCCACTTTTGCCTCCACATGCTTCAATAAAATACGCCAAGAACATTCAAACTTAGATCCTGAGGGACACGCTATGGTTAGCCGTCTAAACAGCCACACACGATTAATTCAAAAACTGGATTATATCCTCCGGTTTGCAAGTGACTCCTAATTTATTGATCGTTGGAATAATATCGTAATTGGCCAAAGCGAGATGGTAAAAAACGGGCAATAATTGTCCGATGAGTGCAGACAAGAGCTTGTTATTAAAAAAGTAGTAAAAAATTCGCCGCGTCCACATTTTGCAATTTGCATGTGCCTCGAAAGTAATATATTTTCTGGCCAAAATTTCTATGCGGAAACCCGCTGACACATAACTCGGTCAGCTTTGCTGTTTTCAAACATTTTCATTAGCATTTCGAACTGTCGGTTCTGACCAAACTGCGACATTCATATTAAAAGTTTCTGCCGACGAAAATAGAGAATATAATATTCAATCTGCCTTGATTACGAGCCTACGCAGCACCGAAGTACGACAAAGTCAACTCTAGTTTACTGTTTAAACTAAAAATTAAAAGTTCCGCAACTCTGTTGATTTGAGAACTTTGCCTATTCATAAGTCGTCACAAGTTTCACTAATAAAGCCAAATTTTGCACTAATAAGGTTAGGTTTTATCCCATTTCTTAAAAATATTACCACAAAACCTTCCTCGTTTTAATTTACCAATATAACCAGTTTTAAATACTCAATTGAGAAGTGCGCAGTTTTTATAGTTATTATCTGTAGCAACTAATATAAACAAAGAGAACCAACAATCGTTGTGTCGTCGCGGAAATGAAAAAGTAATTTAATAAGAAATTTTTTCTGCACATACCTATACGATTGAAGAGAATGAAATTTTTGTCTTGGTGTCCGCTTTGTGAAATTGTTTTTTTATATAAAGATTTATTGTTTATATTTTAATATCGCTAATTTAATTGTGTTTGGTAAAAACTGCAAAATAAAGATTGATTGCATTTGATCGAGTAATACGTAAAAGCCCAAACCAACAAGAGTATCAGTGTTGATATCCTGTTGGCCCTGTGTTTAACAAACACAAATTCCTTGAATTCACTCTTTAACCAGAAAGTCTATTGGAAAGGAAGAGAGTAATAAGGCAATAGCACGTAGCTACAATTTCGATGTTTCTTCATTGAATGAAACGGAGGATAATTAATATCGGTGTTCAAGTTGGGATGAACGGTACTTTATGGTCTAAAGCCAAGCATATAGAAGCTTTTGAAGTTACCTCGCACATTCCCACCTCACAAGACGTTTCCTCTATTTTCACATTGTTATAAATTGTTTCACACGGGATTGTTGACAGTAATGACTCTCTCTTCGAGTTAATTAGCAACTTATAGAATTGTTGACATTCATTCTTAAAATTTTCCTTACAGGTGACGTGGCTTCATCACAAAGGAGACTCAATACATCTCCTTACGGTAGGTCGCAGCGCGTATAGCAGCGACGAACGTATCACCCTCAGTTTTCGATACCCTAACAACTTTCGCTTACAAATTGTCTACATCACACGGAGAGACGAAGGTCTTTACGAGTGCCAAGTCGCCACACATCCACCAAAAGTCAAAAGGATATTTCTCAAAGTCACAGGTTAGTGTTCAAATTTAAGATTTATTTTGTCAACATAACCCAATTTTATGATGATGATTCTCTAATTACTTAATTCTAAGGCAACACATGAATTATTAGAACCGGTGCGTCCCCTGTTACATATTTCCTAATCTAAACAACAGCCTATTGTTAAAATTATGAGGCGGTAGTTTGGCAGAAACTAAACCAAACGAAATTATTTAAATATTAAAGCCCATAAATTATGAAACACAAACAATTCACATTGCTATTATTGAATAATTTATTATATTTTATTAAAGCTTGGAAGCTTGACAACTACAAAAACTAACAGTTCACGTTTTGCTTTTTATCAAAGCACAATTCACATGTTTTCAAACAAACCGCAGTTAAAATGTAACATTAAGAAAATGGTGTCAAACTTTTGTGGTTTCGTTGCAAGACAATAGAACAAAACGGCATTTATGTCTTAATACAATGAAATATATATTAAAACCAAGCCGAGACTTTACAAGAAAGACATTAAGGAGTCGGCCATGAATATGCAGAAGCATTTAAGTTCTACTAGGTCAAAGTTTTAAATCCGTTTTTAAAAACTTGATCGGATGTATCAATGAGAAAGTTTTCAATAACTTTACACCCTCTCAGCAAAAAAAAACACAAATACTCGCACCACTAAGAAATTATATCCCGTTTGAGAATATATTCATACAAGGTGTCAAAAAATGTCGTGCCGCACCAAGTGTGACCATTTTGGAGTCTAGTAGCTAGCTAGTTTTTTTAAGATAATAGTTTGGTTTGTTTATTAAAAATAATTCAATGTCAATTTGTTTACTATTTTTAGCAATATTTCTTAAAACGTTTAAGTAGTTATAAAACATTTTAAAAAATCTTAATTGTGTACTATATTGTCCCGGCGCATCCACCATATTTTTATTAAAATAATTAAATAAACAAACACTATGTATTGAACAAATATTTATCAAACAAAAGAACCAACTGATACATTTTTTGCTCTTTAAGGACTTTTATTTCACACCAAACTTTTTGCTGTCCGATGAAAACTTTTCCCTTTTTTGTTTCTACTTAATACATTTGGCCGTTAGGTGTCCAATAGTTCCCAACTTTTTCTAACAATATATGCTACTTAAAAAATCTATTGATTTTCTATGTAGGTGTTAAAATGAGATATCTGTGTGAAACAGTTTTATATAGCTTTGGTATTGAAAAATCAGCACAGAGAATAACAATAACAACACAATAACAGTAACATAAAACTAGTTGTAACGCTAGTTAGGAAATATTTTGTTGGTAAATAGCTTTGTGTATGGTTGCAAATCATTAGGAATTAGTGGTCAACGAGGTGCTATTTTTGCTCTACAGGTTCTTGAATGTGGAATAAAATGTGTAACGTTTCGGTTGATGTTCTAAGCTGTGGGTATTAGGAGCGTTTGTAAGGGACTAAATGTTTTATTTCCCAATTATATTTGAAGTGACGGTTGGTTTTGTGGAGTAATAGTGGCGAGCTTTGGAGTAGAGTTGGGTTTAGTTATGCAATCACGTACGAGGGTTTGGTAGTGGTGCGGCAAGACATTCTCCTTAGTGAGTAGTATAATCAAGTTTCGCAATAGTGCTTCTCTACAATATTAAAATTCTATGAGTGTGGTTGAAATGGGGTATTGGGACTAATGAATATATTCTATTTGTAGCCCCGGAAGTGCGAATAGTGGACGAATCCGGACGAGAAGTGACTGAAAGGTATTACAAAGCCGGCAGTGCTCTCGAGTTGACATGTCTGGCAACGCAGGTAGGAGGAGGCTCAGGGAACCCCACTATCACCTGGAGACATGGAGACCGCACACTCTCTAAAGGTATCAGGTGAGTAAGTACCTTCACCACACAGACACCCTTTGTACTCGCAGCTTTTCTTTATCCTCGAGGGGATTAGGTTACTTCATTTACTGAGTGGAAATATTAAGAGATAGCACGCTTAATGTATGTAGGTTAACAAAAAATAACAAATAACAACTAAGAAAAGAAAAGACAGATATGAAGAATGTAGCGCGTCAAGCGAACACATTCAATACATCCCAAGCAATTTGTTTTATCTAAATCACTCTCTCCCACACAAAATTAATACTAACCACTGACTGTTCCACCGGCATCGAAAGTCTAGGATTTATTTTTAAGTTTATAATTGATTAAAATAGAAAAATTGATAAGTTAGAAGCTATGTGATAAATGGAGGTGACTGATGAACTGGGTTAATTAAGATTTCGTAGGTGATAAATAACATTTTAAAAAGTATAATGCATCTTGCATGACAGTGAACATCGAGCCCATTTTTGCAGATTAGGAAATGATTAATATTTGTACCAAGAGAATTGCAAATATTCAAGGTTCATCGTGGCTTATTTATGTATTTGTGGTGTAAATCTATTATTTTATTTTGTGGTGAAGTAATTGATTTCCCTTGAGTCTGATGTTTTAAAAAAATAAGTGTCTATATAAAAGCGTAAGCAAGAGTCTGGAATAGATTAGATAGGTAAAAATTAGTCTTAGCCTTCCTCTCATTTTTTAAAGTCTTTTCGGGGCAAAGTGACGTCTGTTAATTTATGTGAAGACAGCCAACCGTGACAAGATGGTGGTGAGTGCAATTAGCATATTGTTGTTCTAGCTCCAACGTGTCTGCTAGCACGGACTCAGCTATTTCGACTCTGACGGTGGCCCCCCTTGAAACTCGCCATTCGGGGAACTACACGTGCGCCGTGGGAGCTTTGGCATTTGCGACCGTAGCTGTACACGTTCTTAACGGTAAGTTATTGCACTAAAATCTGCCAAATCTCACCATTAATCTTAACTTTGGAGAATAATGTACTAGCTTGGCCACAGTAAAAGTACGCTCACCAATCAGAACACTGAATCAAATAAGTGGGAGACGATTTTTTAAAGATTACGATTTTTAACAAAGATAAATGAAAATCAATTCACTTCAAACTTACACTTTACACTTACAACAACTTTCACCAAACTTTTTATTTATATCTCTATTCTCTTTTCATTGGTCCGCACCGAAAAAGTATGCCGAGCCGGTGCCACTTAATCACTACAATAACAGCACCAATTTCTTATCCACACATAAATCATCACTAAATTGGGAAAAGTAATCCTAGTCTCGACTCACCTACCCAAAATCAAAAAGCATTTTAGTTACAAATATTTTTGCAGTTTTACTATGAACTAAACCCATTCAGTCAATAAAATGTCGCATCTAACTTTGTTTAGTATGTCGACTTTCAAATAATTTTTACATCTCAAAATAAAACTTTTAATTTTCCTGAAAATAGGTCAGAAACGGAACATAATAATAAAGCCACGTACTAAGAGAAAAGACTTGGCAGTTAAATCTTGACTGATCAATAAATTTTATTCTTATTTACAATGAGAGATTTCAAAAGTCTGAATAAACATTTTATAAAAATAAAAAGTAATTTCAACAAAACTAATTTAGTTAAAGCTGCATCGTTGTTACGTGAACTCTATGGTTTGTCATGCAATAAATATAAAACAAGCTTAGATGCAAAATTTTTAATTATAATTTCTATATTTCTCTTTTTAAATTTAAAATTAATTTCTGTTTTGCTTTTGAGTAGTTAAGCATATTTGTAGCTCTATTGTCCATCAGATCAAGTATATAATTTAAACCGGTAAACAATTGCGAACAATTACCCAAAACCGCAGGCATTACAAACGGCTTTTAAAATAGTGATTATAATAAATTCTACTGAACACTTCTCTCCAATTGGGCGATTAGTATAATAATTTAAAATTATGTATCGAGTACAATGCTTATGTTGGAAACCAATCGAATGGATTGATTATTGTACATGCTATATTTTACAAAGTACAATACATTTTGCAATGTAGCTGAAGTCTATCAGATTAACAGGTTTTGATTATATGTATAATATGATATTCATGCGTTGTGGCTACAATTTCGCTTTCCTGACGCAACTATTTTATGCTCTCGAAAGATAACACTGAAATAAATGTTGTATCGATCACCATTGAACATCATACGTAATACGATAATTAATGTGTCTCCATCTCATACAATTTTCATGTAAAATAAAGTGATATAATAGAGCAATAAAACAATTTGTATTCCACTAACACACTAATACAATTTTAGAAAATAAATGTAGCCCGGCGCATCCACCATTTTTGCACAACGAAACTTTTTATGAATAAAATAATAAAAATATTGTGAAAAAATTTTTTACATAAAGAACATAAAAGTTGTTATTGAGATGATGGTGTGGCCTTTGTCCTATTGGTGATGATTTATTTTATATTAGACTAGAGCTATGAGAAAACATATCAAACTGAGCATGTAAGCAAAATGTGAACGAGGTCCTACATCACCGTGAATCCTGATTCTATATCTTTTCGTACACCTTCGTGGTTGTTATTCAAAAGAACAGATCTCCAAGGCCTTTTAAATCTCAAATTTGCCTCATGGGGTCGGTTTATTACACAGCTATCCGAAAAGCCCACTTCATTGGATACAAGGTATATCTTGAGTAGAGTGTATATTAAATTTTTTGCCAGTATTTCAAATTAATGGACGTGCATTTTACTCGTAACGGAACCGGTTAGTAGTCTAATACATTTTGTTGCTGACACTAATATTAAATTACCAATTTTGTCGGCGCGGTCTTAAATTTAAAAAATCAAAGTTATAAAAATTGTAATCTAAATTGCAAATTTTTACCGGAATATTCATGGAAGTATTAAAACAACAATAGTGATTGGTGTGGAGTGAGTAGAATTCATTAGAGAGGAGTTCGATTTTTTGCTAATAAAGGATTAATTATAAATTTAATATTTGTGTTCAGGTGAATTAACTTTTAATTAGTTTATTTGTATAAGCAAAAGCGAGCATTTTCTTTTGAGCTTAAAGATATAAATAGGCATTATGGCGGTATAGTAGATATACAAAAGAGCTTGGTAGTTTAAATGATCGTTGTATATTCATACCTTCAAACCTACGTTCCAGAACAATCTACCCAAGTGTAACCCATTATTTAATTGAAAACCTGGATGTTTGCCAAGGTTTCAAGTTTTGTCATCGGATAAATAGAGCAGTGGTGAAAAGGGCTTCGTTAACCCCTTCGTTGCACCCCGATAAATCTATTTTCATAATGTACTCGTTTAATAATAATTAAGTGGTTATTGAATTTGATTAATTTTTGGCAACTAATTGGATTACTTTGAAATTAACATAATGGAATTTGTAAGTTGAAAGCAATCAATTCAACTGTTCTATCGGAGTTTTAAAAAGTTGGTGTTAAATTGTCGCCACCGGGCTATCTGTAAATGTGGTTTTATGATTTCAATGTTATTTTATAATTTATGGGCTCAAGTAACTGCTGGCGACGTTGCATATTTCTTCATAAAATGATATTGCATATTAATGGCTCTCTGAATGCTTCACGGGAAACTCGGAATTAATGCTAAATAATATTTCAGATTTTTTTAAAGCCCTTTAGGCATACGACGATTGAATTAATGTCGTTTTTTATAAACACCAAATTGTCGAAATTTTTCACACCGACTTATAAGCTTCCAAAGACAAACTAATGAACGCTTTATTTCCAACAAGCCACATTTAAATTATCTAATTAACAATATGAACATCAAATCTTCGCAACATAAATTATTTATAAATTACCAATATATTTTTAATTGGAGCTTAAAAAGTAGCGACCCTTTCAAACAAACTTTTAACAAGATTGATTTAAACGCTATTCTAAAAGGATAATTAAGCCATTCTGACACTATTATCCCAATTAAGTTTCAGACTATGACACTTTTTCATTTCAAAGTTGTTAGTCTAGAACAGCGTTATGGAACATAAATTAAACGCTTTGATCTTAGAATTAGTTTGAAATTTCACCACATGCCAGCTGGTGCATGACTTGACAGATTAGACAAGTAAAAACTCAAAGTGTGACATAAAAACATTCTCATTCTAAAACTCTATTTAAAAATCTTTTCCAACAATAAATCTAAACTTAGTTTTATAACTATCTAACTATCATGCAAATCCATCGGACATAGACTCAAAGAGAGGAACTAAATTGACTTATTAGCTTTTAGACAACTTAAGTGCCAACAACTGCGATGCAAGTGGTGTCAAATTGAATTTGTTCCTAAATCTTTATGTTCCCTACAAACAAATACCGGAAAGAGTAAAACAATAAGTAATTTTCTTACCCGGAAACGTGGAAATCTTAAATGCCTTTTGTTTAAGCTTAAAACTTAACTAATAATCTAGACAACGAACAAGCCGAGAACAGAATTTTTGACTTCAAAGCTGTATTTGAGTAAGTTGAGAAGTAAACATACCCACCCACTGTGCTTGTCCGGGGACTAAAGTACATGGAGGCATTAAGAAGGTGCCGTTTTATGATTTTTTGCTTATACCTACAAAACGGAGTGTTACGTGGAAACTAGTTTGTACAAAATGAAAGCTTATAATTTTTTTTACATGATGGTCTTCCTGATGGCCTTTTTGTATCTCAAATAGTAAATAAATTTTGTACCTAACCATTTTTTGTAACAATCATCGTTTTCGAGATATACGCAAGAAACCATAAAACGGCACCTTTCTGCGTCTCTGCTTTTTGTATGTTTACCTTCTAACTAGTCTAAACACAGCCCTGAAATCAAAAATTCTGTTCGCTATTTGTTCATTGACTGGACTATACAGATTCAAGCAATAATTTTACCACAAATAATTAATTAAGATAGTTTCACACATAATAAACACTTGATTAGTGCTGTACTAATTATTAAACAACTCTATTATGTATAAATTACCGTTCCTTTAGATACATTATTCATCAGCTAGTTCACCAACGCCTGAACTGTGCAATCTTATTAACTATTTCTTAGGAAAAAGCGCTAATTAAAAAAGCCAAATACTGCAAAAGTTGTTAGAAACTACGGTTTTATCCGTTTAAATTTTCCTTTCCACATGTGAGAAACACCTTTTATATGTGAAGTGTTTCCTTTCCTCGAGATAATAGAAAATAAATTTCAATTTTGACATGCTTGTGTTGGTAAAACAATAAACGTTACATTAAAGAACATCTTATACATACTATACATACTTTCAATTTACCTAATATTATTAAATTTAGTCTTTGAATTATGTAATAACTGCATAGTTTTAATAAAGATATAGAAGCTTTTATCTCTCTAACTCAAGATAGTGCAGAATGCAAAACAACAGGTTCAACATAAGCTTCTGATTAAATTTGTAAAGTTTATGTAACGTCACATTTTTATGAATTATTCTAGTTTCTTTTAACTGAGCCAGTTTTGGAACCACTTATTTTAGTTAAGCTTTTGTTTGGTTTTATAGATTATTGTAGTAGAGCATAGTCTTCATTGCGGTTGTTTTAAATATAGATGGAAGTGAGCGAGTTTTACTGGCGGAACCGGTTTGAATCCGTTTATCAATCTTGAACCGGTTTTTAAAAAATCATATATTATAAAGCGTGTGATATTTGCGGCGTGTTTAATTTTGAAGCGGTCGGTGGTCGTTTTATGTGGTAAATTATTAAAATTCATGCACCTTCCACCCTCATCTAGAAAGCTGTCCATTCGGTGTATCAGGCGGTTGAGTTTAAGGTGCAATAAATTTCCAAGCTATCGGTCAACATTTTAGCCCCGATTGAAGCGTGCAGGTTTTGGCAAAGATTAACGTCTGGCAACGCCGCAAACAAGAGGTGTAACTGCCGGCT